TGCGTTTTAGGCGACGTTGGAAAGGAACGACAAAGCATCTCATGCTTCGATGGAATTTCGAGAGAATGAACGCGTTCTCCAGCATTTTCACCTGGAATCGGAAAGTTCAATCAGAAACGCTGCTGAAGGAACATTCTCTGAAAATATCACCTACGTCGTTTGTCAACCAAGCGATCAAGTTGAGGTGTGTACACAGGGTTAGACTTATTGTTTATTTGCTGTAATATTATCTGAGTCATTTCAATTTTTTCGAAAACACAAATGCAGTCTCCTGCATTGGAACAACAATTAGAGTTTATCTCGTGATCTGTCCTACGATCCTAGCTCTCCTAATCCAAGTATTTAGAGATATTACGGTTGAGTCACTAACATTAAGTAATAAGGAAGAGCAATAAATAGTAAATGAAAGTAACACTCCAGTTGCCACCTATGTGCATTGCCCTCCCATCTCATTGTTTCTATTTAATTCATTGGATCATTTCATTGATTTCGGCAACGATACTTCTCTATATCCAAACAAAACTTCCTATGCAGAATAAACATTTTTGTTCCAGGTTATACTGATCGCAGACCTCCGTGAAAATAATGCAAACTTTCGTGGAGAGACTGTAGTTGGATGTCTAACCAAATCGCACCATCGGGTAATACACTGCTGGGAAGTGGTTCTTTCTTGTTTGAAAGTAACTATTTCAGGTTGAAATGCGGCCTCTTTCAGTTGGTGACTATCTATGGGTCGCTCGCAAAGTCGATGGAACTGAGATGGTTCTAAACTGGGTGGTTGAACGGAAAACATGGAGTGATCTCCACCAGAGCATCAGATCGGTACAAAACGCGTTCCCATTTTGAGAAAGTCCCAAAAAACCTCTAATAAATAATAAGTTGGTCTGAGAGGAGAATGCGTGTGTTGAGAAGTATGCTAATTGACTGCGGTAATGTAAGGTTCATTCAGAAGAAACGTCTGGTCATTTTATTCGAATTATTGGGTTGTCCGAAAAGTTTCCGCCGATTTTTGATACCCCGGATTTATCAACCGTTGTACAAAAGATCAAGGACCCAACCTAACAAAGTTATATGTTTTCTGAAAGAGTCGGTNTATTGTTCAATCAATGTATTTCTTCTTCTAGGAATTTTCATTCAAAGATGAATAAAAAATCGGCGGGAACTTTTCGGACAACCCAATATTTACTCAATCGCTCCCCTTAACAGTCAATACAAGAGTAAACGTAAAGCAAATTGATCAAATCGGGAAAAGCATGGAGGTCTGTGAGCCCCTCTAACAGTGCCACTCTGTCGCTCATATTTCATCCAGTCTGGGCGGCTCTCTCAGCATTGATCACAGAACTCGAGTAACGGTTTTTGGTTTGTTGAAAAGTGTCTCTTATTTCACATTTTGGAGCCATGTTTGGGAAAAACTGCTCCCGGAAATGTGCTCATCGATATTCCCGTTACTTTTGAAGATGTTGTCGAAGTATACATTTGCGCTTCTAGTTCTGCAGTCAGTCGACTTGCACTTGAAAGATTCTTGGGCTTTCGTAGCTTCACCTTAGAAAGTAATCGATCAAGATGATGTGGACCTCAATGAAGGTTATCGCCGAGAACAGTAGGGAAACGTCCATTTCCAACTGAAGGTATGATGTAGTTTATTGGAGTCAAAACGTTTGCAGCCTGCAGATGAAGCTACAGTCGATTTACTGAGAGATGCGAGGTTTAACATGGTGAAGAACTAGGCCTCCCACCTGAAAGTCTTTGCCATTATCTTTACTTTGAGTGAAACCTCCGACATTGCGCACCTTCCTAGCGCTGGAGAGAAAGCAACAGCAAATCGTTTTTGAAGTCATGCGGTGAGTGACAAATCCCACCTCACGAGTGACAACGCAGTACGACCTTACATGTACGGTTTTCAGTGATTTACCGAAGGAGCGGTTCGTTCTCGGTGGTACAGGTAACTGACAGAAGGAAAGCAGTTTTGGCGGATTCGCCAGTATCCCATTTCTAGTCCGTCGGTGTGAAGCACCAATGTTAGAAGTAGTAACGGACTTTGATTTTCTCGTAAATCGAAGCCAAAGGACCTCAGTAATTTCGATCGTCTCATGAAGATCCAGTCGTGACTCGCAAGGGCTAAAAAACTCAATCAAAATGTTTCCATCGTTGCTCCATAATCGATAGAGGACGGTGCCGTCACCAGACTCGAGCGCACCGGTCGGCACAAGAGCATCTAGCGTCGGAGCCTAATGCTCGAGCTTTCTTGCGTCAAGGGCACATGACGCTGTACTCTGAAAGATAGAGTCCCATTTGGAGAGAAACAAGATCACAAGTTTTGCACACAAATTCTTAACAAAACAAAAAGCTTGGCTTGAAAGTCCCTGTACTTTCATAAGAGGTACGCAGCAAGTCAGCAGTTAAGTTAGCCAGACAGGCTTGAACATGCAATTTAAAACCACCCAATCAAGTTCTTTTTAGGTTCACAGTGAAAATGTTTGAATTTTTACTTGAACGATAGCTCCTTTCCCTTTCGCCCTTTTTTTGATCAACTGTGGTCCCAGCTCAGAAGCCACTAGATGATCTTATTGCAGGGGCGGTACGAAGAACAGAAGCAACGTCTACGTCGTTCTCCTATGAAAAATTGTGTCTACTTAGTGGAAGGGACTCTAACGCCTCAGTACAGTGCCAGTGAGCAGGTGAATCTTTTTGTAAGAGTAGGTTTCTGACTTTATGCACGAAACAAGGAGCGATCCTGCGTCATAGGGCCCACTTCACGTAGCTGCGACGTTGAATGCATATTCTGCTTGGGTATAGGAAAACTGGCAATATTCAAATCGGTGTTCCTGGTCCAACAAAGAGAAGATACTTGGTATGCAGTGCCATTCGGGATGAGCTGTACGCTGCCGTAATCCTAACGCTCATCTCAAAACAGCATCTCGAATCTGCGAAACGATTGAAGGAACTATCGCGAGTCATGGAGAAGCGGAATAGACGTAGAGAGAGTGATCAAAGTTTATTACACCTTTACGGATAAGATACGGAAGGGCAAAACTTGCCTCTGTTTGAATCTCAACAAGAAATTCTTAATATCACGGGCGTATTCGGTTCAACATCACTTAAATTCAAAACAGTTAAAGATATCATTTGCGGAATGAACCTTTGGAAGCATTGAGGTTTCAAATCAGCGCAACTGCAGGTCAAAATTTGACGATTTAGGCACTTGCGACGACCTTAGTCAGTGATGGATTTATGATTCAACGCGTCAAGTCACCATTTCACAGTGCTCAGTTTTTACTGAGTATCACTGAATACCTCAAGACTTTGGTTGCAAGACGTCAGGTGAGATGATTTCCGCATAACCTATTTTGACATTTTGTTACTGCAGTCATCTGTCATTTGTCGTCCCGTTAATCATTAATTTCCTCGAGCGGGCGCCAGCAACGTCTTCATTCGTCTCTATCGCTACACTCAAGGGTCCATTGGATCGCCCTCACTCAAGCTCATACACGGGGCATAACATTCCTTTCGTAAAGAGCTGCCGTGTAGAGGGCTGACAATCGCGCTGGTGACCGTCCCGACATTCATGGAGGGATTGGGCATGCCGTTGCCTTACGCCAAGGAATCGAGGATCGAGGGCCGAACATGTTACGTGATATTGTGATGACCAGTCATCCCGATTATCGTTCGGTGACGGAGCTCGGAACCTCGGCTTTTCTTCTGAACTTGCGTGTATAGGGGAATCCTGAGCATCATTCTCTTCGAAGCGCAATGAATGTCGCTGACAGCATGTTAATCCTGCTTTCGTAGAGTCAACTTTCCGAGGCGTACGTCAAAGCAGGAAGGATCGCATTGTTGAGAAGGTAAGTGCGGAGCTTGATGTTCTTTGTCTTCTTCGCTACTCCCCCAATGTTCTTGTATCTTCCCCACACAACGAGTTTCCATTGCTCAACTCTGGAGCCAAGTCGCTCATCATGTTGATTTCTCGACACCAGGTACACTTAGCTAGAGCATTCAGAGATGTTCGTTCCATTAAGCGTAAAGGGATAGTCCGTTTCACATGCACATCGTATTCGTTAAGTTCACTCTTTTGCCAATCTTTCCACAAGCGCTGTCGAATTCGGAAATCATTTGTTCCGCCTGCTAGATGTTCGATGTTTAAGAACGATGTCGTCTGTAAAATGGAGATGATGTAAAGAGCGGTCGTCGATCTTCACTACCAATTCTTAATATTCCAAATAACGCATGAAGAGAGCGGCACTGAAACTTAGAGTTGATGTTCTTGGGAATCGCTGCATTCAAGAAATTTTGAAGTTCTTTTAGATGAGTGGAATAGCTTTCGAATATCTTCAAGAATGGTCGAAAAAGGCTCATGCTGAATCAGTTAAAGACACATGGACGAGACAAATGATGGTTTGTACGAGAGTATTCAATTCCATCTTTTCGGAGGTAATACTTCACAGTAACTTCATAGGTGTGCCCTGGAATGTCTTCGGACCGAGCGCAGACGGTTGCAAATCGGTACCCCTCGATGATGTCAATGATGCAATTGTACTACTCTTCTCAAATCGACCAAACCAACTCGGTACTTTCATCGGCAGTTCCTGGACTCAGTCAGGCTCTCAGCACTCAGATGAGCAAGTTTTTTTCGTCTGTTCTTGACTGAATTCTTTTGTGCAACCTCATGGCTACAGTCCATATCCACAGAGTATCTGTTCCTTTGAAAGTGTCTTTAATTCTCTTTACGGTTCCCAGATCTCACTGTAACCGCACATTGTTTTTAATACAAATCATAACAGTAAAGAGTTTCTGATACCGGATATACAGCTCAGAAACTCTACAGTACGCAAGGTCAACAACAACAAGAACAACAACAAATATTCTATCAACAAACTATAGTGTCAAATCATGTGAGCGCACTCTCGTTACGAATATATTCGCCCAAATCGCACTGATGAAGAACAATAACAGCAGTCGGATCGGCACGCTTACTTTCTACCGTTCCTTTTCCAGCTACACCAAACCTGTAACAGAAAAGTGTTAATCAAAGGGAGAAGAAAGCAACTATTGTTCTATAAGTTGACTTTTGGTCGCATGCCGGTGAGAAAGAGGAAATGCGAGCTGGAGTACGTAAATTTTACGGAAAGTTTACTGTTAGGCGAACTCCTTCAACTAGTATAGAAAGAAACGACTGACTGGCGCAACCAGTTATTCTTACCCTAATGGCATGTCATTCATGCTGTAGACAACGATACCAGCGTGGCTCGGAATGCCTTCCGTCATTCGTGCGATTCCAGATTTCAGAATGTTGTTCCCGTAAAGAAACTGCTGTTCCGCGTTAGCTTTCAACCACACTCGATACTGAAAGTTGATGGAATATTCGACAGAAAACATTGACTGGATAGCAACGAACTTTAAGCAATAGGTTATCCATCAAGTTGTGGCATTTCTTAATTTTTCAAAATTGAGATGCAATGTTTCAATAATGTGTCATGCTCTGCCCAAAAATACTACTCTTGTAGCGAAAGAGATTCAATTCATTTTTGTTTCAGATCGACTCACAAGTATTTTTCGTCGTTTTCACTCAAAAAACCATTATAACATCCTTTTCCAAGTTAAGGTTCTTCTCTATACCTAGAACAAATGCAGAAAGCGGCCTTCGCAGTGCTAAAAACTCGACCAGAAACAAAAGCAGATAAATCCCGTCCCGTAGCTTTGGAATAACATTATATCCCCTAAATCCTGACTAAATCTTAAACGCATACCGAACCGTGGTCTTCTGAGCAGGGAAAGCTACCAAATAATGGTATTCCATGGTGTTAAAGGACAGAATTCTAACAAAAAATGTCTAATTTGAATGAAAAAAATAATAAACGGACAGTCAATAGAATGACAAACTCAGCAACTTGAAATACCAGTCGTTCATTTGACTGCAGCTATAATTTTCAAAGAAAAGCGGTTTACATTAGCGAACCTTTGCATATGGCGCTAAATAGTCGAGAGCGGTGATATGGAGATGAAACTTGCGAGACTTCGTAAATTTACCAAGACAAGTGCCAAATGATAGTAGTGGTTCTCGTGCAATGCAACTAGCTTGTCGCATCAGATTCTCTGAGCAGTAGTAAACACGTTCCTGAGCAATAAATTTCTATATCATCACAGAAAACAGACAACCTATTCAACTATACAAAGCAAGAAAATATGGTCAGAAAGGCTCCAACCTTGTGATTCCGGAAACAATAGTCACCATCTGCTCGCTCGATTAGAAGCGCTACATTGTCGCCTATAAATGTTGCTAACTTAGAGAATACCATCTCAGTTTCCTCGTCGGTTAATGGCCGCATTGTTTCTGAAAATTTACTGATCATAGAAGCTATGAGTGAAGTTAATCTAGGTATATTGAGGGTCGATTTGAGACACAAAATCATTCATGGTTCGCTGCGCAGCTGGAAAACTTCCCTGCTTCCTGGTAGGGTTCTACCCTCTTCGAGTGATCTCATTATGTTGATACATTAGATACTTTACAGTTCTGACACTTCTTATCTGCCTTGTACACTACGCCGTACTATCCAACCACCTTATTTAAGGGCGCATTTTTACAAGTTGAAGGTTCGGTGGTTTGAACAACGCATAATCGAGCTACAATATCAGCTCTATGGATTTTTACATACCTGACTAAAACGGGCTCAAGCGACTAATTGCACAATCTCCTATCAGCATTGATTGGAGAAAAAACATTTTTGAGGTAAATAGTTCTCTGATAAAGCTAATGGTACAGAGCGATTGGTAGCATTGCTGTTGTCAGCTCGCCGGTATCGGGTCGCTTTAACGACCGCTTCGCGCAATTTCAATCCCAGGCCCAAAGGCGAATGGTCAAAATTACCGATGTAAGGCATCGTGATAAGGTAACTCAATTTGGACCTATGCCATACAGCTATGACCCGTGTGGTGATTCCCTTATCCTAAAGGTGTGCCGCTCTTGAAACGAAAACGATTCAAAAACGAATACGATTTACCTACATGCTTTTGAAACGATAAAACACAACTCAGTAATAAGGAATAATGCGGATACGACAAAAATATTCTCTTTGCTGTAATCTGCTGAAGTATTCGAGTGCATTTTGCAGATGAATATCGATACTAATGATATGCGGAACTACCACGAGTCAATGAAAAAAAATCAAGCTAGCGGCAGGCGTTTATTCATATATCAATGGCACAGTAGAAAACGTATTACCTTGTCGAGGTAAATTATATTGAGAAAAACAGGAAGTAAAGAAAATCAAGCAATAAATAGTACACACAACCATATTCACAGATTTAGTCCCGTAACTTGAGCAATCAATTGATTGTCAGCGATTGCTAGCTTTGCAGTAGCAGCGTTAACCTAAAACGAAGTATCACATTCATATTATTAAAAAGGTTAACAACTCAACCATACAAAAACCAAAGCCTTGATTATGTACCTCTATACATATCAGCATTCTGTTGTAAGGCTTTGATTCATTAGGAAAAAAGAAAAATGCTGGAACAACCTGTAACAGCAATTTTCCACTAGGAGCTCGTGCGATGAAAGATTGACTTTCCAAAATTTGTAAAGCAGCGTCCAAATCCTCTCCTTCCAATCGGGGCACTTTGACGACATCACATGCCCGATGGTACGCATTTGTTAAAGAAACGACATCAAGAGCTTTCTAAAATAATCACATCAGACTGTCTTGATATATTCGAAGTGGTTGCAAAACAAGACATAGTTATAGAACCAAGAGAGCCAGTATCTTGAACCTTTTTGTTCGATGAGAGAACGACAGCAACAGCAAGCAAAAGACGCGGTTGAAGAGGTAGACGTGCTCTGGCCAGAGGTGATGAAAAAACGCCATTTAACACCCCCAGCACTTCTCGGCAACCTCGAGGCGTTGATGGCTCATGCGCATCTCTAAATTCACATGAAAGTCGAAAGAATATTCGTTATGATTCGATAAATATCCACATACGTAGTCTGTTTCATAACGTGAAGGGCAGTTCGTAAATCCCCTGTCATAGCTGCAACCTTCCTTGAACACAGCTCAACTGCCGCACCGTCCATACAGCCCTCCTTAGAGAGATTAATTATCCTTAACACATTATGTTGAAGTTGAGAACGCATACCGATTCATTCTCAATCTTGCTTTTAATAATTTGCGTTATATCGTCTTTCGTATAAGGAGCGAACACCAGCGTTTCAGGGGGCTGCCCTAGCCTTAGCTTGGGCAACAGTCGTTCCGTCAGATCAATTGAATTTGCAACACCTTAATGTGTAAGGTTTGAACTCGACTGACCGGCATGCGGATCAAAGAACAGATAAATTGTGTAAGAAAAGGTGAAAAATCTCGTACCACCGAAATTAAATAAGCCTTTACCTATTACAATCAATTTGTTGGTTATTGTCTGGGGCCACTGGAAAGCGGCATATAAGAAGGTATTTGTGTTCGACGTCAGATGATCTATTTCGTCCAGAATGAGTATGAAGTGCTTCCGCAGTCTTTTCAGAACCGAATTTAAAGCAGTTAGAGTTGGTCGAGCGTGACACTGGAAGGTTTCAGTTCGAAATTTCGAGTGCAAACCAAGAGTATGTATAGTTTCCAACTTGGAAATGAAAATGCGAAAAATTGCGACCACCAACAAATACCCTACCTCCAAAGCATTCAAAATGCCTTCAATAAGCTTGGTCTGAGAAATGACTGATGCACAATTCAAAAAAGTGAATGTAGCTTGACGACCAAAGTACTCGCACACGCGCCTCAGTGTCGCAGTTTTCCCTCAAAAGAAAAAGTTTACAAAAAAAGTGCTTGTCAAAAAGTTAATCAAGTATCTTTCCAGGAGGACGAGTGTAAACGCGACATATAGTTCCAATAATGGTATTTTTTTTACTTATGGTCCTTATTCATTGAAGGATCTCTGACCGATTCGTGAGGAGGCTATCAGGCACGACACCAGGTAGGGAGCAAACCGCAGGCAAAGGCCACCGGTACCTATCTAGAGATGCATATATATATATATATATATATATATATATATATATG